AACCGGATCCGTCCTTGCCCAAAATTACTTGGTCCGAACTACCGCTGAACAAGAGAGGCAAAGAAAAGAGTAAGGGCCTTGCTAACAGAAACACACCAAGGTGGGTACGCAAAACGGTCAATCCACTGAGGCGTGGTAGCTCTTTCCATCTCATACACCTCCTCTTCTCGTCCAAACAAGCGTGCCCGGAGTACCCCAACCGAGCAGCGCCTTGTCGATGAAACGAACCATTTTACCACCAAGCGCCTCCGCCGAGCCTGGCAACCGGAGCGTTCTGACCGGGCAAGCTCCTTTAAGGGGCTCCCAAAATCACTTTCCAGAACCGAGCTATTCAGGACACGCTTGTCAGTGGTTGCTGAAAAAGATCACTTAATGGCATTCAATTGCCAAGAAGTGTTGCCTTCCAGCAGATATGGAAGCCACCACAACCATTTGACCGAGCTAAAGCTCATCCGTTCGGCAACAAAATCCATGGTTCTTGTAAGTAGCTTTCTTGCTGACTTTTTCTAATCTGTACGACCTTTCTGCCTGATTTTTACTACAAGTCTCTTCCATTCTTTTTCAGGCTCATACAAAAGGAACCACATTGCACACAAGCGTGTGTTGGAGCTTCTGTAAAACAACAAGGCAAGCTATGGCGAAGTAACCGAGAAAACTGCGAGCTAGAAGAGGCCAGGCCACATTGTCTTTGTCGCCCCACTTCTGTCGCCACCCGCTTCCTCTTGATCTGGTGCTTCATGGCTTGTCTCCATGTCCGCCGCCATCTTCCTTATCAATTCATCTTGCTCCTTCACGCGGTCCTCCAGAACTTGAGGATCGATCCTCCGCCTTTGTCTGTCAGGACTTTGTGAATGAGAGTGACGGGGGTTGTTAGTCCGCCTCCTCCCCCTTGCATCCCTCCTGGGATTCTGTCGCTGTGGCTCCAAGTCCGCCATGGGAGGGATAGAAGGTAGGCCTTTGCGCCTCGCACCCCCCTCTGGTGTTTGTCCGTCGATGGCGGACTGCGGAAAATCTTCGTTGTGCGCCATTGCTTATAAAGAGGAAAAACTTGATCAAGAGGTTTTGTTCTAGTCTGATGTTTCCCACAGACGGCGCCAATTGTACGGAAAAGAAATAAACCTTCTCGTATAATCCTGTTGATCAAGTCTGCGCTCCTCCGTACGTCGTCACTTTACTCCCTGAAAACACAAACGTAAGCTAACCGGCGGATGTGTGCCGGATACCTCTCCGATGCCTAAGTCAGCAAAAATAGACAAATAGACAAAGCTCTGTGTATTCGAGAATCAAAGTTGTGTTACCTCTCCATAGGTGATGTTATGAGCTTTTATAGGTTTCGCATGACACAATTCTAGTAAGACTCTTACTCCTCCGTGTTGAGTCTTCCTAGGAGTTATATTCCTAAAAGATAATACTTATCCTTCAACACCCCTCTCACTACTTAAACCAAGTGAGATGGTTTTACCATGGTCGGATTCCAATATGACCGAGATAAGCATGGCTATGCTGAGCCGCAGAAAAGACCGAACTATAGCTAGTCTGGTTATTCCTTTTATTGCTCTTATTACCTCGGTTCCTCCTATACAGACCATGGCGTGATTAGACCGGGTTGACAATTAGCATGGTTCTGACCGAGCTAGCTGCGGTATTCCACGATTGGGTTAACTCTGAATGTGGTAACCTGGCGACCGAGCTATCCGCAGTGCTCTCCTGGACCGTGATAACAATATGCTCTCTGGGACCGAACTAATTAAGGCCTTCTAGGACCAGACTAATTTTAAGGCCTTTTTACTCAGCCCTTCGTACTGTGGCCCATAATGGCCCATTATCCAGCTCGGCCCAATTTTCATATAAATTACCCTCTCATTGATGACACTGTTTTCCCTATATTATCAACAAATAAAAATATTAATTTAAAATAAAAATCAAATTAAATATTAATTGGGCTAGGCTGGGCCAGAAACATAAATTTCAAATTCAGCCTATTAATTTTGCGAGCCTATGTTATTAGCTCAGCCCAACCGTATAAACTAAAATATTATTCCCAAATTTTGAAAAAATAAAACTGAATTGGGTGAGTCAGGTGGATCGATATCCACCCCTACCCTAGATGGATCTAATGTTGCCGTCGATTACGTTTGGTTGATTTTTTTTTTCCCCTAAAAAGATATTTAAAATTTAAAAGTAATTAATTTTTTTGTAAAATTCAACTCTTCTAATAAAATAATTTTTTAATTTTGTCAATTTAATAAAAAAATAATATTTTAATCATTAAACTCAATATACAAAGAATATTTAAAATATTATTTTTATTGAATTTAATGACTAACATACTTTTTTTTGGGGTTAATTTTACTTAACAAAAATTAAAAAATGGTTTAAATTGACAAAAAAAAATTTTAAAAAAAAAATTTGTTACAAGGTCAAACCTTGAATTTTTTTTAATAATTCTTCCAAATTTATTTTATAAAAATAATAATAAAATTTTTAAATTTTAAATTAAAAAAATTAGTCTAAAAAAAATTATATGAAAGTAATGAGGTTTTTTCATTTTTATCAAACTAAAATTTTAAAATATTTTAGAAAAAAAATTACAAAACTCAACCAAACTAAACCAAACTGGTTAAATTCCTGTTCAATTCTACTATTTTAAGCTATAAAATACATTCATACTACTCAAAATTAATTATAACTATAAAATCATACCAAAAAAATTTACAAGCATGCTTAGAAATTCAACAATTTTCTTCAAATTAATTTTAATAAAATGTATAAAGACGTTATATACCAAATGTTACATAAATATAATTTTCAATAATATAAGGAGTTTAAAAATCTTATAAATAAAAAAGGCTCAATTCTATTCCTTTTGATCTTTAATTTGAAACCCCAGAACTTTGAAATAGAACAACAAAAGCAAGACACCCATTAAAGGCCCAGGACAACTATAGAGGGTTTCAAATATTCAGATAACATCATTGAAGGCGAACTTTCCATCTGCAGGCGATCAGGCCTCGTGATTTTACGCCATTACCTAATGCATTTAGGCAAGCCAATTGCTAGGTGTCGTTTTCACATTCCATTCTCTCTTCTGAGGCACAAGTGATTGTTTCATGAACTCTGAGAATCATCTCTGCAGCCTTGGTTGCCGAGAGCAATACGGCCTGCTTAACTTTAAATGATTCAGAAATCCCAATCTCTGCCATGCCAACTAACTGTTAAAGATCCGACAGTTGGACGATCAGGCCTCGTGATTTTACGTCATTACCTAATGCATTTAGGCAAGCCAATTGCTAGGTGTAGTTTTCACATTCCATTCTCTCTCTTCTGAGGCACAAGTGATTGTTTCATGAACTCTGAGAATCATCTCTGCAGCCTCGGTTGCTGAGAGCAATACGGCCTGCTTAACTTTAAATGATTCAGAAATCCCAATCTCCGCCATGCCAGCTAACTGTTAAAGATCCGACAGTTGGAAGTAATTTAGCAGTGTCACAACTAGCAAGCAAAGGGTGATTAACAGTTTGACAAATGCGAGCAAAAAACTTTTAAGAACACAGAACTTGGAATACAGAAACAATGATAGACAGGCGTGAAACATGTGGGTCCCACCCTTTGTCTCATGTCTATGATTGTTTTCTGTGTTCCTAGCACACCTCAATGCGAGCCCATGGCCCCATCCCTCTATTGGCTATGTTATTGTGAAAGTCATCTCCTAGAAGGCTAGAACCAAATTGGTCTTTGAAGTTGCTCCATTTGAGCAAGCTGATCATGGACAATGTGACTTTCTATTGTAGACATGTGTTGCATTCAATTCCACATTATGCTGCCCCATTCATCTTAAGTGTAATGTGGGCCACATGTAAATAAATCTCAGCCACACAATCACTTACTGTGGGCTTTTTGCGTCTTAATTCTGTGTATCTACCATTTTCGTATGAAAAGAAAATCTATATAATGACAATGGCTATAACTGTTATGTTATGATGTTTGAGTATCACTCACTCAAATTTTACCAAACTAAACTAAAGCTTTGTGCCACAATCAAATGGAGTCCACTATATGAATCATTTTTCATCATTCCACTCTGTTAAAAACTATATGCTCAACCAAATTAAATAAATTCATATAATTTTTTACTATCACGTCCAATGTTAATTTAAGTCTTCTCCTTCTCTTAGCATTTCTATTTACGGTGATTGTGTCACTCTTCCTTATTGTTGCATTTACAAGTCTCTGTTGTGCATGACAAAACCATCTTGCACGTTCTCTCTCAACCTACCTTCAACTAGTGCTACTACTCATGTTAGTATTTCATGAATATATTCATTTTCATTTAGTGCTACTCCTCCAGATCCATTCATTAAAAATTTACTAATCCAAATGCAACAATAAAGTTTGCTATTTCCACCTTGTGTAAGGGCTGAAAAGGAGAAAAAGAAATTAAGAGATAGATAATTAGAGGTTGAGTTATCTGCTATTCCAGGAAGGAAAGCATGTTAGTACGTGTGTCCAACACAAACTATGCTTACCAAACCAACAAAAGACCTTTAAACCTTTAAAGTCAAGGGATGATATCATAAAATACATACCAGATACCCTAATACAACATCGGCCACAAACTTAGCAATTCAGACAGAGTCATTCAGGCTGCACCAGGTAGGATGCCCATAAGTCATCTGCTGGAGGTGGTGGTCGAACCCAGTGCCCTGGTATTTGTCTGCACCAAAGCATGGCATTAGAAAAAGTTGGGCTAGTTCATAAAAGTTATAATCTGATCCCAATGAGAACAATAAATGAATTAATGCAGCATTAAAAATAGTGAGTGAGATCAACAATGCTTGATATCTATAGACTATAAGCGATACCATTATGTTGTACACAAGGACAAGGGCAAATTTTAGTAAATCATGTCTCCTCAAGTAATTGCAATTTGTCATGGACTGTCCAGGAAATACCAAAATTGCCATTTTTTTCACAAAGAACTGTCCAGGAAATATATAAAATGGTAGTATACTCTATCAAACGTGAGTCCTGTGATATATTTTGAATAACCTACTGGGTGACAATACCTCGTGGCTTGTGCTGTTGGCAAAAGGCAAGATTCTCCTGACCTTGCTGTAGACTAAATTGAAAAATGGGACAACAGAGAAATAAAAGTGATGTATCTACTCATGAATGCATTCCCTAAATCAATTAACCATTAGTTGGGTTCAGACCTTACTTGGGCACTGTAATCTGTGTCTATGCACTGATTTTTTTGGAGTTGTTCTACGCGAAAGAATATAACAACTGGGGCTTGGACAATAAGTATGTTATTTTTCATTTATATTTTAAATTCACAATATTTATTTTTCGTTTATATTTTAAATTCACAATATTGTCTTTCAACCAATGGACATGGACATGTTTTCCATGATGGCAAAAGTGGTGGAATGGAAGTTCTTTTTTGCTCTGATAATAGTACTTTCAAGGTTGTTCCATTGTGACGTGATGAGTGTCATGGGTTCAAATCACGGAAACAACCTCTCTGCATGCAGGGGTAAGACTACATACATCTGCTTCATGTTCACTATAATATATACTGATCTCATTATTTGATATAACGGACACCACAAATAGAAAACCTATGAGAAAATGAGCATTTTACAAAAGAAACTACTTGGCGATCTCACCTTCCCCCTGGTCTTATATATTGATCCCACGTTCTTCTAACCTGCATCCACAATGAAATCTTTTTAGTTCAACTAGTTATGACTCAAGGACTGAGTAAACAATAATGAAATTGAAAAAACAAGGCAAGTTCATGTTAACTAATTTAATACAGTGCTTGTGCACATACATGCACCCAAGCATGGACAACTAGAACTATGAGAACAAGAAACAGCCGCAAGTACAACAGATACCACACAGGCTATCTAATCACAAAGTTGGTCAAGTTATCAATTAAACAAATATATTTCCCTAATACTTAGCCTCCGAACATTACCTTATTATGTTAGTATAGCCTCTAAGAACTTAAAAATACCAGCTAAAATTACCTCTATAAGTGTTCCCATGTCGGTATTGCTGCCATGATAATAGTGATAAAACTCAATTGGTAAACCAGCCACAGAATCATATGCCCTAACATGACTTTGTCCTTCTGATCCTAGCTTTCTAGATTCTTCACCAGTGACTGCACTTGAGCCTCTTATGTTTTCACTCTGAGTTGTCTGGTCTTGACTATCCTCATTTTGACCGTTATTACCACTTGCAACTTTTAAGTCAGGTTCGCGGGTCTGAATAATTTTTCTAAAGTCCTCTGCAGTTGCAATTGCCTCCTTAGCAGCATCGGTGTCAGCTGCGGCCATCTCTTGGCGCTCCTCTTCCTCAACTGCAGCTTGAACTTTTTCAAGGAACTTATCATCCTCCTCTGGGAGAAAATGGCCTGCATGATTACAGAAAATATGTGATTTAAAGTAAAGAGAGGACCAATGGATTTAACTGGCACATTATTGAAGTTTGATTTCTTGTGTACACGGGCACCATATTTAACTACCTCAGTGTAAAGCGAAGTGAAAGACAAAGCAAAGAACATTGTTCAACACTTGAAACCAAAAATAAATTAACATGAAAACCCCCAAGTCTCTAAGAATAACGAAAACAAAAATCTATCAGTAGACCATTCTACAGGGAAGCACAACTAACCCTAATTACCATTTGTTACCTTTAACATTACATACTTGTTTAAGGTTGTGATTGGATCATGAATTTGAGTAGGAATATATGGAGGAAAGGAAAAGGGAAGGGAAAAGAGACAAAAAGTGAGTTGACAATATAAAAAGTGAGTTAACATGAAGGCATTTTGAAGCATAAAATTTACATAAAACATATACAATTAATCATAGTGACAAAATGCATGAAAATGCACACCTTGTTTTTTCAATTTTTGGATCCTGATAGACCGCAATTCTTGCAATTTCTCCACAATCAACACAAGTTCAAGCTGAGAGTCATAATCTTGGTTAAAACTGGATTAACCAAAATGGAAAAATAACAAACAATAGCAATAAATCAACCAAAATAAAGCAAGAGATTGGCTAACAAATTACTAATCCTATAGCATGTAGATAAGAGAAGTCCTGCAGAACTTACAGAGGCAACACATGCCAGAAAAATGGTATAACCCAAAACACACAAGTTCTAGAATGAGGAAAAGTACAAAATAGGTGCTAAACTACTACAAAAGAATGTAATAAATAGAAGCAAAAAAAATCAACAAAAATCTCATTTGGGCAGATTAGTATACAAACAAATTGTCCACCAATTGATTGACAGCATTTACAAAGTTGACTGACACATAATTAAGTGGCCAAAGCAATGAAATGGGATGTATAACAAACCACCTGCGGCACAGGCCAATGACTGCAAGTAAGAAAGTACCTAGTTCAAGTTGAAGTTACCACAAGGATCGGAGAAAGGCAAAGAGGTATAAATCATAACTGGCACAACATGATAGCAAAAATTGAAGAAAAAAGACACGGTCCTACATAGAACAAGATACAGAGAGTGATCTGTATAGGTGATTCCAACAATTGCAATGAAGCATGTTTGTTGAAAACAAAAATGTATTTAAGATGTTTTACATGGATATCAGACCATCTCAAGCTTTCAGCAACACTCATATGTATTTACTAGAAACTCATATACTAATCATGGGATGCTAGAAACATATTAACAGTTGCTACTACTATGAATGAATTCTGAAGTGCATTCTTGTAATTCTCACCTCAGATTCTAATATCTTTTTCTCTTCTTTTGCTTTCAGTTTTGCAATTTCCTTCATCTTTTCTACCTGCATACACACATGCCTAAAATGTTAGCTTCCAATACTATATCAACCTGATGGACAAAGGTTTATATATACATTTCAGTGCTCCAATGTTTAGACCTAAATAATGAGAATATAATCCTAATTACAAACAATCAAAAAATAACTGCAGAAACATGACCTTGAGAGAACAAATGCTGGTGGGTGATGATATCCAAAACAGAAAATTACAATTCCTATACAATCTATATATAGAAGAAAATGTGGTAGTAGGTGTAGTGGAGGTGATAGTGGGTTAGGTGAAGTGGAGTGTGTGGTGAAGTGGAGGTAGGTGAAGTGGAGTGTGTAGTGGAGTAGGTGAAGGTAAAGATGGGAAATTCTAACAGTATCTACTCATGAATGCATTCCCTAAATCAATTAACCATTAGTTGGGTTCAGACCTTACTTGGGCATTGTAATCTGTGTCTATGCACTGATTTTTTTGGAGTTGTTCTCGGTGAAAGAATATAACAACTGGGGCTTGGACAATAAGTATGTTATTTTTCATTTATATTTTAAATTCACAATATTTATTTTTCATTTATATTTTAAATTCACAATATTGTCTTTCAACCAATGGACATGGACATGTTTTCCATGATGGCAAAAGTGGTGGAATGGAAGTTCTTTTTTGCTCTGATAATAGTACTTTCAAGGTTGTTCCATTGTGACGTGATGAGTGTCATGGGTTCAAATCAAGGAAACAACCTCTCTGCATGCAGGGGTAAGACTACATACATCTGCTTCATGTTCACTATAATATATACTGATCTCATTATTTGATATAACGGACACCACAAATAGAAAACCTATGAGAAAATGAGCATTTTACAAACGAAACTACTTGGCAATCTCACCTTCCCCCTGGTCTTATATATTGATCCCATGTTCTTCTAACCTGCATCCACAATGAAATCTTTTTAGTTCAACTAGTTATGACTCAAGGACTGAGTAAACAATAATGAAATTGAAAAAACAAGGCAAGTTCATGTTAACTAATTTAATACAGTGCTTGTGCACATACATGCACCCAAGCATGGACAACTAGAACTATGAGAACAAGAAACAGCCGCAAGTACAACAGATACCACACAGGCTATCTAATCACAAAGTTGGTCAAGTTATCAATTAAACAAATATATTTCCCTAATAGAAGACATCTAGCCTCCGAACATTACCTAATTATGTTAGTATAGCCTCTAAGAACTTAAAAATACCAGCTAAAATTACCTCTATAAGTGTTCCCATGTCGGTATTGCTGCCATGATAATAGTGATAAAACTCAATTGGTAAACCAGCCACAGAATCATATGCCCTAACATGACTTTGTCCTTCTGATCCTAGCTTTCTAGATTCTTCACCAGTGACTGCACTTGAGCCTCTTATGTTTTCACTCTGAGTTGTCTGGTCTTGACTATCCTCATTTTGACCGTTATTACCACTTGCAACTTTTAAGTCAGGTTCGCGGGTCTGAATAATTTTTCTAAAGTCCTCTGCAGTTGCAATTGCCTCCTTAGCAGCATCGGTGTCAGCTGCGGCCATCTCTTGGCGCTCCTCTTCCTCAACTGCAGCTTGAACTTTTTCAAGGAACTTATCATCCTCCTCTGGGAGAAAATGGCCTGCATGATTACAGAAAATATGTGATTTAAAGTAAAGAGAGGACCAATGGATTTAACTGGCACATTATTGAAGTTTGATTTCTTGTGTACACGGGCACCATATTTAACTACCTCAGTGTAAAGCGAAGTGAAAGACAAAGCAAAGAACATTGTTCAACACTTGAAACCAAAAATAAATTAACATGAAAACCCCCAAGTCTCTAAGAATAACGAAAACAAAAATCTATCAGTAGACCATTCTACAGGGAAGCACAACTAACCCTAATTACCATTTGTTACCTTTAACATTACATACTTGTTTAAGGTTGTGATTGGATCATGAATTTGAGTAGGAATATATGGAGGAAAGGAAAAGGGAAGGGAAAAGAGACAAAAAGTGAGTTGACAATATAAAAAGTGAGTTAACATGAAGGCATTTGAAGAATAAAATTTACATAAAACATATACAATTAATCATAGTGACAAAATGCATGGAAATGCACACCTTGTTTTTTCAATTTTTGGATCCTGATAGACCGCAATTCTTGCAATTTCTCCACAATCAACACAAGTTCAAGCTGAGAGTCATAATCTTGGTTAAAACTGGATTAACCAAAATGGAAAAATAACAAACAATAGCAATAAATCAACCAAAATAAAGCAAGAGATTGCCTAACAAATTACTAATCCTATAGCATGTAGATAAGAGAAGTCCTGCAGAACTTACAGAGGCAACACATGCCAGAAAAATGGTATAACCCCAAACACACAAGTTCTAGAATGAGGAAAAGTACAAAATAGGTGCTAAACTACTACAAAAGAATGTAATAAATAGAAGCAAAAAAAATCAACAAAAATCTCATTTGGGCAGATTAGTATACAAACAAATTGTCCACCAATTGATTGACAGCATTTACAAAGTTGACTGACAATTAATGAAGTGGCCAAAGCAATGAAATGGGATGTATAACAAACCACCTGCGGCACAGGCCAATGACTGCAAGTAAGAAAGTACCTAGTTCAAGTTGAAGTTACCACAAGGATTGGAGAAAGGCAAAGAGGTATAAATCATAACTGGCACAACATGATAGCAAAAATTGAAGAAAAAAGACACGGTCCCACATAGAACAAGATACAGAGAGTGATCTGTATAGGTGATTCCAACAATTGCAATGAAGCATGTTTGTTGAAAACAAAAATGTATTTTAAGATGTTTTACATGGATATCAGACCATCTCAAGCTTTCAGCAACACTCATATGTATTTACTAGAAACTCATATACTAATCATGGGATGCTAGAAACATATTAACAGTTGCTACTACTATGAATGAATTCTGAAGTGCATTCTTGTAATTCTCACCTCAGATTCTAATATCTTTTTCTCTTCTTTTGCTTTCAGTTTTGCAATTTCCTTCATCTTTTCTACCTGCATACACACATGCCTAAAATGTTAGCTTCCATTACTATATCAACCTGATGGACAAAGGTTTATATATACATTTCAGTGCTCCAATGTTTAGACCTAAATAATGAGAATATAATCCTAATTACAAACAATCAAAAAATAACTGCAGAAACATGACCTTGAGAGAACAAATGCCGGTGGGTGATGATATCCAAAACAGAAAACCTTAAATCTTGTTACATTCTTTAATTTTTGCTCCTCGTAAACTTGAGAACATAGTTGCACAAAGCGGGAGTAGGAGCAAGAACGGGGGAGCAAGGGCCCTATAGAAGAGTTTAAAGTTGGGGGAGGAAGAGGGAGTGAGAGTGGGAGTGGGGGTGGTGGTGGGAGCGAGGAGCGAGGCACCAATAGAAGTTTCCTAATACTAAGCTTGAGATATAGTAGGGTACACATCATGAAGTGCAAGTTTATAAATGCAAAAACAACAAAATAATGTATTGAGTTCATAACGATGACACGGCAAATTTTTTTGTTGTTGTGTGTGTGTGTGTCAAAAAGCATGAACCAATGTTCAATTTGTTAGCTTCATTCCATCGTTTCTGGCCATCTTCTCTGATCTCTGTAGAGTTAACAAAACCACCCTCCTTTTGTTGGCCCATTTAGCAGAGTTCTATGTATTCCAAACAAATTCAGTGGGTGCCACTTTTATCCTCCCCCATCAGTACTATAAAGTGAATCTCATAAAGTTAATAAATAGCTGGTTAAACACTCACATGTACTCCTGGGTGCAATATCCAACTCAATTTCACCCTTCCGAAAGAAAATCCAGGCAAAGTGCTGAAGACATTGTTTCAAGAAATATCTATGTAGTCAAATTTAAGTATCTACTCGCTTGTGTGTCACTAACTCATATTGTACTCAAGGAACCACTAACAATATCCAAATATTGTTGCATGCATGCAAAGATTCAACATATAGTAAGCTTATTACCTTCCGTTTTGCAATAACATTTGCAATCTCTCTAGCCCTCCACTCGTCAGCTTCTTGATCAGCTTTGTCAAATTGCTCATGTTCCTAGACATCATTCAAAGATATATAAATGCAATCAAAATTATCATCTTCCAAGCTTAGTCAATAAAATAGAGAAGGGGAACAAGTGTAGATTGAAGATGTAACCACCTTCGCAAGCATTTCTGCAATACGCCTCCTCTTTCTTTTCCTCCAATTTTTGTTTTGTTTGGACTTCTGCATTTTATTAGCTAATCTTACTGCTGCAGACTTTTCCTCCCACGGACTTGTTTCATTCGTGGCAACTCCAAATGGCTTAAGTTGAGCTCCTAACTTTGATATTATAGCATTTGCAGCTTGCAATGGACATGACTCCCGCGATAACAAATCAATTTTATTATTATCAAGAAACCTAGGGAGGCTAAGTAATGAAGTCTCCGTTGATCCAGTATCTACATCCACCGCAGACCCTTTACCATCTTTGATCCTGATCAATCCCTCTAGCTCCTTTTTCCTATTAAGAATTTATAATTCATGTCAAAACTAATGTTCTAAACCTTTTTACTAACAAATACATACAGGGTACAACTTCATATCCCAATCCAAATAGTTAGGTGTGGATTTACATTGTGCCTTGTGGGGGCAATTGCCCCCATGCAGCTTTTGAAAAACTACTGTAGATATAATTTTGTTTACCAAACCAAACTAAGCCTACATGAAGTAAATGAAGGGCAATAATTTGCCTGGATTGAATGTGTTTCTATCCCTAATGGGTCCCCACCGCTTTGGTTATCAGGTTATGTTTGTTTTAACATTGCGTGTGCCCTTCAGGATTGGTCTACCTGTTTTAAACTTTTTCCCATCTCTTTATATCTTTCGATCTCTCTCACGCTCGTCTATTTGGAGTAAATTTCAGTTATCACTCTCTCCCTAACTCTCAGTTGCATTCATCTTTTGGAAAATACTAGAAATGCCAAAGGGGAATAATTCTAGAACACAAGAATCTATCCTCACTTGAACTTTTGGGGTAGAAAGAATGATAAACCTTAAAAAATGACGAAGACCAACAATTCAAACAAGACCATCATGCATAATTTTCGTAAGATCATTTGTAAAGTCAATTTGTATATCAATAAAAATCGAACTTTTCATATTCCTTTCGTTTGATTGTCAATTAGGAAAAAAAAATCCGAAATTCACCCCTGCAAATAGTTTTGATTGAAATTTTGAACACTAATATACTAGACCATATAACTTTCACCAACCTCCACTGCAACAATTTCAATCTATCAATTATCATTGTAAATTAAAATCACATCTTATCAATAAATATTTAAATTTTCATATTCAACTTCATTCAATTGTCAATTAGGAACAAAACCCTGAATCCACCTCTGCAAATAGCTTTGATTGAAATTTCAAACACCAATATACTAAACCACATAACTTTCACCAGCGATTTAAGAGTATGTAGCTTCGTATTCCATTGCAATAATTTCAATCTAACAATCATCATTAAAATCTGAACAAATTAAGCAACTCACATAGCTTTTGCGAGATCGATTGTGTTGCGTAGATCTTGAAGGCTATCAAGCACATTTGTGTTCTGCCAAAAAGCGGTCGACAATGGCGGAGCTGAAGGTAGTATCGGAAACCAGGGCTGAGGCATGGTGTGTGTGAATTGAATTGGGCGGTTCATCGGAATCATTGGATGAGTCATTGGGTTCATAGAGTTTGTTGGCTGCATTATAGTCTTTTCGAGTGTCTCTTTCACCTTCAAACCTTAGCAGAGGCGAGGACTGGCGAGGGTTGAGTGGCAGAAAATGGCGCCAGGAGCACGGGGGCCGGGAAAATTGCGTGTTTGGTTGCTGAGAAAACAGGGGAAATTTGGCATGATATCATTTACCTTCTTTCTTTTCTTTAATATAAAAATAAAATAACAAAATTATTTTTTCATTCATATAACAATAGAATTACTGATATAAAAAAAAAAAGACCTACATGTTATGTGAATTAAGCCTTGACCAGTGTAATTATGTAAAAAATGTGAGATTAATTGTAATTTTTTGAAATTTTAAAGAAAGTGAATGTAATTTACGCGATTTTTTAATTTTCGAAAATAAAGGTTTTAGGGCAACTTGAATAATTATTTTGAGCTTATTAAGATCATCTTTGATGTTGAATCAAAAGTTTCATTAAATTTGAGTAAAAGTTTAATGAAAATTTTGATTTGATACCGTCTATTTCAATATTAAAACTAAAATTTTCGTCAGACTTTTTTACAAGCTCGGTACTCCGGGAGATGTCTTGGAGGTCGACTGACCAGTGTGAATTCAATAAAAAATTGTAAAACTTATTTCCCTTCAATCGATTGATAAACAGGTTGTCCGAGAGGACATCATCCTAGTCATTTGGCCTCTTAGTAAACAACGGCTACCTACAAAATTTTGATAAACTTTCCTTCATTTGATGAATTTTTGATTCTCCCTTCATTTGATATGAGTTGGATATAAATTGAAAAAATTAGTATTTTTCATCAAATTTAAATTTGATGAAAGCAGTGGTAGAGCCACATGGGGCTTAGGGGGGTCACGTGTTCCCCTTGAATTTTTTTTTTTTTTTTTTTTTTTTTTTTTTTTTTACATATGTATATGAATAAAATTTTAAACAAAAAAAATATTTAGAATAAAATGTTAAGGGCATTTTTTAATTTATGAAAGCAAAAGTGATTGTTTTTATTGAAAATGAAGTGACTACAACAAATTATATTTTTATGTATGAAAATTTTATGAAAAATTTCAATATAAAGGTAATATCCATCATTATTGATATGTAAATATAATTAATCTCATTATATAAACCAAGCCAAGCCTTAAGTCCCATCAAATGGGGTCGGCTACATGAATCCTTCTTCTCCACGCGACCCTATCAAAGGCCATTTCATTAGTCAAATTAAGTAGATTCATATCTCTATTTATAACGCTAGTCAACATTAATCTAGGCCTACCCCGTCCCCTAACACTTCCATCTACCGTTACAACATTACATCTTTTCACTACTGCCTCTGTTGCTCTCCATTGAATATGACCAAACCATCTCAAACGATTCTCTCTCAACTTATCTTTTATCGGTGCTACTCCTACCCATTCCCGAATACACTCATTCCTAATCCTGTCTTGTCTAGTCTTACCACACATCCACCTTAGCATCCTTATCTTAGCCACACTCATCTTATCTACATGTTGTTTCTTGGTTGCCCAACACTCCGTCCCATACAACATAGTTGGTCTAATAGTCGTTCTATAAAACTTACCTTTTAGTCTAGTGGGTATTCATTTATCGCACAATACCCCAGACGCACTTCTCCACTTACACCATCCCGCCTTAATCCTATGGGCCACATCTGCATCAATCTCTCTCGCTGTTGTGATAATCGACCCTAAATAACGAAAATGTTCACTCTTAGGCAGTTCTTGGTTCTCAATCTTCACTTCTCCTCTGCTTTCATTGTTACTGTTACTAAATTTACACTCCATGTACTCTGTCTTAGTTCTGCTTATCCGGAATCCTTTAGATTCAAGAGCTTTTCTCCAAATCTCCAACTTTGTGTTAACTCCTTCTCTAGTCTCATCCACTAACACAATATCGTCTGCAAAAAGCATACACCATAGCACGTCATCCTGAATATTTATTGTCAACTCGTCCATAACTAAAGCAAAAAGATAAGGACTTAAGGTAGATTCTTGGTGTAACCCTACAGTGATAGGAAATTCATTTGTCTCTCCAGCTGGCGATCTAATAGTGGTTACCACCCCTTCATACATGTCCCTAATCACGTCAATGTAGCCTTTTGTCACCCATTTCTTCTCTAGCACCCATCATATTATATCTCGGGGCACTCTGTCATATGCTTTCTCAAGGTCGATAAACACCATATGAATGTCTCTTTTCTTTTCTTTATAATTTTCTGTTACTCTCCTCAAAAGATAGATCGTTTCCATTGTTGACCTACCAGGCATAAACCCAAATTGATTCTCTGACACCTCTGTTATGTCTCGCAATCGGCGTTCCATCACCCTCTCCCACACTTTCATTATATGACACATTAGCTTGATTCCTCTATAGTTGTTACAATTCTGGACATCACCTTTATTCTTATAGATTGGCACTAAAATACTCTTCCTCCACTCATCTGACATGTTCCTAGTCAATAAAATTTTACTAAACAACCTAGTCAACCAAGCAACTCCCTTTTTACCCAAACACTTCTAAGCTTCAATAGGGATATCATCGGGTCCTAAAGCCTTATTTGATTTCATCTTCTTAAGTGCAATCTCTACTTTAAAGTTCCTCATCCTGCGATAGAACCTATAGTCTTGGTTTATCGTATTACTGGCTATTTCTTCCCCTATTGTCGTACTTCCATGTTCATCATTTAACAATTTCTCAAAATAATTCTTCAAACTTTCCTTAATCTCATCATCCTTCACCAATACCTTAGAATCCTCACTTTTGATGCACTTTACTTGATTAAAATCTCTTGTTTTTCTCTCCCGTATCTTAGCAAGTTTGTATACCCTTTTCTCTTCCTCCTTACTATCTAGTCTAGTGTATAGGTCATCATAAGCTTTCAACTTAGTCTCTCTCACTACTTTCTTGACCTCCTTATTAGCCAATCTATAGCTCTTAAGGTTTTCTTGTGACGCCCCAAAATATTTTTTTTTTGAAGTATCAAGGGAAATTAAATAAACAAAATGACTTAATAAACTAAAAAGTTGACATCTTAACAGGGTAACCCAACTCTCGTACATAACCAAACGTCCAAATAACAATAGATAAAAACTTAAAATTATCCAAATACAACATTAAATGAAATTATAAAGTCCTTAATAGCTATTATACAAAATAATATAATTTATTCGGCTCTACTCGGGGTTTCAGGTCAGCCAAAGCTCTACGTTAGCGTCGACTCCATTTCAGCTTCAATTATTTTCTCGCCAAGACCTGGCATAAAACGCCAGGGCAACAAAAATATATGCCATGAGTTTTGCAACACAGTAAGAAAACATAACCAACCCACCATTCCTTTTAAGAGAAAAATTAATGAGATTATAAACATGAGATGACAATATAATTGTAAGCATAAATTACAACCATTAAAATAATTTCAATAATTTTAATAAATTAAGTGACACTCGAAATCTCACCAAAGAGATTTAACTTACCAACCACTAAGCATGGCAACGGTTAATTTGAAACCCTCCCTTGGTCAAATATTCAAGTGTTACCAACCGTAACTACCAGGGATGCCCACGTCCGGAGTTATATACCCAAGTAGTGGCATCCGTGGTCTGCCCCAAGGAAACGGTCTGCCAGGGGTACGTAACCTCCCTGTGTGCCACCAGCACATCCACCCTTATTCCAAAACCAAATACCGAAAAGGGTTCAAATAAGTCCCGTGCCATCTTAGAGTTTCGCAACACAATTTACGTGAGAATTCTCAAAACCAGGGCTCACCCTGAACAACCGGTATTAACCGTCAATCCCTTGATTTCATACACTCTTTAAAACCAAGACTCACTCTGAAAACTGGTATTAACCGTCAATTGTTAACTTTGTATATGCCTTTAATCCTTTCAGTTAATTTTGATATTAATCACAAATAATTCCAAAATTTTAATCACAAGTAATGTTATACCAACTCATTAAAATTCTCAACATAAAATATTACACATATCACACAATAATAAACCAATGTACAGCATTTAAATAAACAATTTATTTAAACCATGATATGAAATAATAATTTAGATACAGAGAAAATAAACCAAAGTCACACACGTGCATGGATCTTTAATTTACAAGATTAGACCACCACAATATTAAATAAATCACAATACACCCATACATGGATTACCAATTTACTATATTTGATGAATTGGACCAACACAATAACTGATTTTTATCCGAATAAATAATTAAAGTCATGATCTTAAACCTGTCTGGAAATTTTCAGGTTATACCTTAGGTAATAAAAATTATAAATAAATTATTTATACAGTTCTAAAATTCGTGAAAATATACAGAATATTCCATAAATATGTTTGGGTCATTTTTCAGAAATAAATTCCCAAAAATAAGTTATAAATAATTCTGTAAAATTCCCAGAAATTTTTATGACACCGATTTATCACATTTTCTTAAATTAATTCCATACTTAAATTTATAAATCAGATCCACAATCTAAAAATTTAGTATGAAATTAGACTTCTCAAATTTCATATTTTAGTTAGAAATTACCAGATTTGGCTTAATATAGAATTTTTAATAAGATTTCAAACATATAGTAAAACCTGTCTTATAGTTTCAGATTTAATTAAAAATTTGTATAAATTCGTACAAAGCTCAATAAATTAATTGTTGCAAAAATTCCTGGATAAACTAGACATAATTCCCAACAACTTTGTTGAGAAATCATCTTCAAATTTTGAGTATAAAATTGTTTAAATATTCATACAAATTTTCTGGCAGATTTAAGGGTCAAATAAAATCTTCAATAATCTTTTTAATGGCATAAACTACACATGCAAGTTCAAATTCCACAATATTATCATGAATTTAAGACTACCAATATCTTCAAATATTTGATATACAAATCATAAATTTACATACAACTATAAATAAAATTCTATTTACAAGTTTCGTCATTTTATCATATAAATATAATCTGAAAATTTCAACATTTAAAAAAAATGAGAGGGTTGAGAGGGTTTTCTTACTTAATAATAGGATGATAAAATGGTAGAGAATTTTGGCTTCCTTAATCTCCTACTCTTCTTCATCTGCTACTACTAAGCTTAGTTGCTTCCGAATTTCCCTCCGATTTTGAGTATCAAATAT